GGCACTGCCTCCACTGGGGTAGGAAGGAGCCTTTCCCACAGGGAATAGGGAAGGCAAAGTGAGGGCTGCTTCCCTAGAGAACCAGGGGGGGAAATAGCTCCTTGCTTGCCCCTGTCTCCTGAGGGCCTTCATTCATCATCCCATGGTCTCATCTGGAGAGGTGCAGATCCCTCTTCTCCCCCTGGCTGTAGTGAATCTTCTTGGATGCTTCACTCCAAGTCCTTTTTTGTCCACCCTCCACCCTCCTGTGGCTCCGTGACTCTCCTGCCAGCTTCCAGGATGGTGTGTGTGGTCTGGATCACGATGTATGAAAAAAGAAGAGACGTTCAGCATCCTCCCCCACCTGCCGGAGGCTCTGCAAGCAGCTTTTAAACTCTATTTCAGCAATCGCCTCCCATTAAAATGATGGGAATTACGGTAAAATGTCTCAGCAAGTGTGGCCTTTTGTCATTGCAGCCCGGAGAAGCTCCTTGGAAACTTACTGCTTTTACATCTGATTTCTGTTAGAGCAAATCTCTGCCTGAGCTGCTGCTCAGGAGGAGAGTGGGAAGCCCGGGCCAAACTGCTCCAGGGAGCATTTACATGCCTTTCAAAGGTCTCCTTCCCTCTTTTTTCCTCTCCTTATGCTCATTTTACCAGGTCTAAAAATACTCCACTAAAAACCCTCTTCCCCTGCAGCCACCTCCTTCCTGGATGACTAATAATATCTGTTGCTCCTTCTTGATCTCTCTGTATTTCCCAAGTCTTCCCCAAGGGAAGGAACCAAATCAGGGCTGTGCTCTCAACCAACTCCTTGGATTCAGATTCCTAAATTCACTTTCCTCAGAGAATAGTATTTTTTCCCAGCTTCTCCAGTGTACCAGCAGTTTAAACCCACCTCCCCAGCTCACAATAAACTAATCCTGTTCCATGGCTTACACCTGCCTAATGCTGCTGAAGCAGTGTTCTGATATGGGAGCTCCAGGATCCTGGGATTTTCAGAGCTCTAGGGAGAATAGCAGGTTCACTGGGAAAACCACCAACCACTTAGAAAACAATTTATTGTCTGTTTTTTCAGGTTTCAGTTCTTTCCAGCAGCTTTCCAGCCCTGGGGGACTCCCTTGGGGGATGTGCTGAAGAGGCTGGGTTAGGCTGGGTTTGGTGTCTGGTCCCTGGAGCTGGATGACCGAGCACTGGCTGTGTGAGGAGCTTGCATTTTAGGAGCAGAGGGTGAATGCTGGGCACCGGGAGTGTTTGGGATAGTGGGACTTAGAGGAAAAACCCACCTTGCTGTCACCACATTGATGGCAATGGCTTTTTTCCCTACTGAGTGGGATGTTAGAATGCTGTAACAGGGATTGGCTTTCCTGCACTGCTCCATGTCTTTCCAAAACAGAGCCAAGACCTGCACCAGACACCTTCCCCACTGCCGGCACCACATCATGGATTAGTCAGGATACAGGGATGGAACAGCACTGGCAGGAGCTGGCAGGAGGTACAATGAGTTTCTCTGGACTCAGACACTGCGGTACAGCCAAAACCCTCAGGGCTGATCCCAACCCACTGTGATTTTCCAGAGATCCATCGATGATCAGCCTTTGGGAAACCCTCATGCTGACACTGGTGATGTAAAAATTGTCCACAAATGGTCAAAGTCCTTGTGAACCAGCTACTTCCAGCCCCAACCCTGCACTGCATGGAGGCAGATTTAAAGGGTGTTTGGTTGCTCCAACACTTCTGGAAATCCCCCTGGCTGGCTAATGCCCAAATACCTTTGCAAATCTTGATTTAGGAAAAATATCCTCTTGGGAGCAGTGCTTAATAAGCTCAAGGCCATTTTCAAATCCTTGTAATGCTGCAGATAACTGGACATGTGAAAATGAGAGGAAAAAGCAGATCAGGATGAAGTAGGCACGGGGCCAGGGCTGGCGGCTGCCCCAGGGCTGTGCCGGCATGGAGCAGGCAGGAGGGCGCAGCCCAGGGGTTATTTCAGCACCAAGCTCCCCTAGCTGCTCACCACAACTGGACCAGCATGGAAAGCAGGGAGGAGAGCAGCCCTTCCACATCACCCCAGGCAGGAGATCCATGAAGGGCTCCCAGGGCAGACCACGTCATTCCCCATGGACAGAGGGGTGCAGGTGAAGCCGCTGCCAGCACAGTGTGTGGGCAGGGAGCCAAGCTCCATTATCCCTCCTGCCTTTACAGGAAGCCACTTGGTTGAGCTGTCAATATAGAGATTTTCTTAAAAAAAAAACCAACAAAAAAACCCCAAAAAACCAAAAAAACCCAGGTTCATGGTGCCATTATCGATCATTTGGTATTTTTAGCTCCTTGTTCAATCCATCCCTGTTGGCAATACATCAATCCCACAGTCCCACGGAATACACCAGAGGGCAGGGTTAGATGGGATATTGGGAAGAAATTCTTCCCTGTGAGTGTGGTGAGGCTGGGTAGAGCTTGGAGAAGCAACCTGGTCTAGTGGAAGGTGTCCCTGCCCATGGCAAGGGGTAGAGTGAGATGGTCCTTAAAGTTCCTTTCAACCCAAACCATTTCAGGATTCTCTGCTGTGTGAGTTCAAGCTTTCCATATGCTCTTTTAACAGTCCCTGCTTCAGCATCCAATACCTCTCCAGTGCTTGTGGCTGCTTCTGCCACAGGTGATACTCCCACAGAAGCTCTGTAACTTTGCCTGGCTGAGACCAACTGCACTCTGCATGCTCCTTAGGTGTGAGAAGGGCCTGGGGAGACAGCAGGGCTGCAGCAGGGATCTCTGCTGTGACGAGGGTGGAGCCCGAGGTGGAAAAAAATCCAGCACATAAAGGAAACTGTGTTTCATGTGTTATTGCTGCTTGTCTGAGATGATTGACGAGGGAATAGAAGGCAAGATTCCATGCAAAAGGCTGCAAATTTTCTTCCTGAGATATAAATATTTGGTTTTCCTCATTTCCTTGTGTGGAAATAAACACCACTGGCTGGAGCGCTGCCAGCATAGCCTTGGGTTCACCCAGCCCAAGGAGAAGGGTTGCATTGTCGTGCTCTGGCCAGCCCCAGCACTGAGGCTGGAGGGGCCCTAAGAGCATGAAACCCAGCTCTGGGTGTGGAAAACATGCCTGTGCCTACTGGAAGCATTACGAAATGTATGGGAGGCCCCACCATGGGTCTCCTCTGGACTCGCTCCAACAGCTCCACTTTAATTCCTGGAACTGTCCAAAGCCAGGCTGGACAGGGCTTGAAGCAACCTGGTCTAGTGGAAGGAGTCCCTGCCTGTGGCAGGAAGTGGAACAAGCTAAGCTTTACAGCTGCCTTCCAACCCAACTCTCTTGGTGAGTCCATAGCAAACTATTCAGTGTCTGTGTATGCCTTTGAGAAAATAATTCACCTTTCTGCTGTGGACTGGGATAATTTACCTTGCCCTGTGATTAGCCCGGAACCGCACACAATGAATAATTAGTCCAGCCATGGGCTGGACTCACACATCCGGGCTAAAACACTGGCTGTGCTATGTGTTTCTGCTGTCATCCAGGGAACAGGCTGTCCCCAGGAAGTTTTCTCCTTTGGTGACTGTGCAAAATAAATCAGCCAAGCTGGTAGCAGGGAGGAGGGTTAGGATCCAGCCCTCCCTCCAGCCCTCATGCTGCTGGTATGACCCCCAGCTGCTCACCCTCTGTCCCAGGTTCTGAGGGTACAGAACCAGCAGTGGGTGATGGGATGAGGATGGGCACAGAATCCAGGTGCTGGGGCTCACTCCACAGTGTCATGTGCCAGACAGTGCTGGAGCAGGTGATGTTTATCCTGGCTGCATGTCACATACATGGGATGATGCAATGGGCTGCAATGGGCACCTTCTCCCCATCCTTGGATTCTCAATCTTTCAGCTTAAATTGTCCCTCTTGCAGCTCCAGACCCTGCCCAGAGGTTTTTTCTTCTGGAAAAGCAAAGCTGGGATGAGTCACCCCCTCCTCATGACAGGTGCCCACATCCCATATACCCTTTCCCACTGTTTTTGCTGGACTTGGGTCACAGCCGGTGTCAGCAGAGGGGACCACACTCAATCCAGAGTGCTCTGATGGAGAATTTAGTAAAAACCCTGCCTTTCTGGCTGTTTCTCCTCAGCTCTGCAGATGGATGGAGTTAAACCGGACAAATTTCAGAGGGCAAGAACCCCCCTGCACCCCTCAGCACAGGACATCCTTGGTGGGGAAGTACACATTGAGTGAGAAGGAAAGGGGTTTTTGGGGCAGCAACATCCCTCAGCATCCCTGTCTTCCCACTCAGCCTCTGGTGCAATTCAGGGCAAGGTTCCCCCTTGTCACTTGGTGGTCCAAAACCATCATGTTCTCCCAGCTACAGAAGCTCCTGAACCCGGTGGCAGTACTTTCAGCACCAAATCTATTCATCCTCCTGAGGCTCAGCTCCTTCTGAAGTCCATCCCCCCCATTAAAAAAATATTTCAGATATTTCTGCATTTAAAATAGATATTTCTATATCTAGAAAAAAACTCCTAAACCCCTCCATCCCTGTATGCACTAATGAGAAAAGCAGCCCCATATCTGGTACAAGACAAACTATTTTCTTTCCCTAGGGATGGAAATAAGTTTCTAAGAGGGACTCTCTGAAAAGAGATGAGATGACTCATTTCTTCACTGCTGAAGCTGAATTCAATCCCCAGCACCTCTAGTTCCCAGTAAAAGCCAGGACACTGAAAGCATGGGGGTTCACACAGCACAAAACCCAGGAAGTCCTTTTCCTAGAGATGAAAGGGCCATGAATCACCCTGTATCACCTACTCCCCCAGGATGGGCTCAGCTGCCATCAGCCCTTGCTCCCCACAGCCAAGAGCTATTTTTTCCTGTTCTTGCTAGTGTCAATATGTTTCTTTAAATATCTCTTTGGAGAGGCTGCTTATATATAGCCCCATTCTGGTGCTTTGAAAGGAGCCTCATTTCCTGTGTAAGAACTAAAGTTCTTGGCAAAGCTGCTGGTGGCTGCAGCATCTGAACTACAAAATTTTTTTTTCAGTAGTAAATGGTATTTCCTTTACGACTGCAAGTAAGACTGAGCTGGGTCTGGTCTGAAACCAGCTGGGTTGCTGTGTCTGGGAGATACAGGACAATATTCCCAAATATAAAAATGATGGGAGGAAAGGATTCATTGTGTTAATGGGGTTGTGATGGTGGCCCAGAGGTGACAACAGCCCATTACAGGGACAGGATGGGCACAAAGCTGCTTTTAACCTGCATTTGGCTGTGAAAAAGTTTGGCTCACATATCAAACAGATTTATTAACTGACAGTGAGGAAAAAAACCCCAAACATTTCATTTGCACCTGATACTTTTCTCTTTCTTTTGCACCATCTCTCTGTACCTGGTTTTGGAGAAGACTCCTCCAGCAGCAAGGCAGGACGCAAAACAGCTTTGCAGCCCCTGTGGGATGGCTCATGGATATTAGGGACATTAAAACCTTCCTGAGGAGATATGGCATCAGCTGCATTCAGAGTTCTGCATGACATGAAAATGCCACACCTTCCCACTGGGAAACCCTTCCCAGGAGGGTCTGACATCCCCAGCACTACCCTGGGGACTCTGATGGCAGGAGTGGAGATGCAGCCAGATCAGCAATCACCTTCTGCTGCAAATATGTCTTTGCAGGGTAATTACTGAGTCATAAACTGCTTTTATTGCTGCAGACAGTCCTAAGGACCCAGTGTGTAAATGTGCCAGAGGTAGTGGCGGCTCTGGGCAGCCCAAGTGATCCCCGTTTCCCTTTGCTACTCCCTGAGTTTTCTAGAAAAACCTGCATCAAAAGAACCTAAAATGCAAGATGTTTTAGATTTCCTGCAGGAATTTTAAAGAAGTGTCTTGTCCCAGCCCTCGCCCTTGTCAGGATGGATTACCCTTGGAATTGTCCCAACGGCACAGGGACCATGCAGCCACATCTTCTGGTATAAAGCCCCTGCAATCATGAGCACTGGGAAACAAATATGGAATTTCTCTAGCTCCTCCCAGCCCCAGGCACTGTCTCCACTCCATGTCCTCATCCCTGGGACATAGCAGGACTCAGAACAGGAGAGCCTGCAGTGGTGTGGGACATTACGGCTCATGATGGAGCACAGCCAGGCACTGGAACAATGCTCAGGATGGGAGACACAAGAGAGTTATTTGGTGACTTTGCAGCCCAGGAGATGAGAACACACCACCACGACGTGCTGCCTCCCTTCCACCGAAAACCTGCACGGCAGGGACAAGGACTGAAGCTCAGGGCATGTCCTGCTGCAACTTCAAGGGCACTTCCCTCAGTTTTGATGTCCAAGCATCTCTCCAGTGATGGGTTTACAAAAAGAAGGAACAGGTTGGTGCAGGAAGAGCTGAGCTGTATCAGGAAGGAGATCTTTCCACACCTCCAGCCTTCCAGGAGTGAGCTGCTGCTTTGCTTGGGAATCTCACACACTACCTCTGTGAGTCTGCAGTTGCACCTGCACTTATGACCTGCTGGCCATAAACCTGCTGGGAATGAAGGGAAATATCCTATGGCAGTCCAAAACATGAGTGAAGAAACAGGAGAGCCTGACAGAGAGCAGACATCACCCCTGAAGCATCATCCCTGCCCCACTGAAGTCCTGTGTCTTTCTAACTCCGTTTTCACCCTCAACACTTCAGCTCATGCGACTGTTGAATATCCAGTCTTTGCCAACTAGTCAAGCACAGAAGGAATTTCACTCCTTGGCTCCATCATGGCACAAGGATGTCTGCGGTGGACAATTACAGCATGGAAAGAGGAAGAAGGAGGGAAGGTCCCAAGGAGGGAAGATCCCAAGTCTAACCTAACCTAAACAAAGAAGACCTTCCCTGTAGAAGGAAGGACATGTCCAGGACATGCCCCTTAATCCAACCAGGAGAATTTGAAGGGGACGCAAACATCAAACACCATGTGAAACACAAACATTTATCTTAAAATATGGCAGGATTTTCACTTGTGGTATTTTTTCTCCTCTCTTGGTGACCTTTGCTGTGCCCAAAGATTTGTGCCAAGGTTGAGGTGATGACTGTTGAATCACCACATGAAACACCAGCAAAGAGGGAACAGTCATTGCAACACTCCCATGGCAGGGCTGCATCCAGCTCATCCTGATGGCAGCAGAACTGCAGGATTTGGTGTCCCTGTTGCTCAACTTCCTATGAAAATTATCAGCACTGACAAGAAAGGAAAGGAGGAGCCCTTGGCTGTGTCTTGTTCTCCCTCAGCTGCTGTTGCCCAACAGGCAGCACGAAAGGAACACCATGCCTGGGCATGTCCTCAGGTTTCCCACATTTGCATTCCCAGGAAAATTGAGACACTTGAACAACTGTAGGAGCAGAAGAGAGGCCACCAGGAAATTTATAACTGTATGTCTCCAAGCCAACAGATGGATGGATGTTGTCAGAGCAGAGTTGTTATACAATGTAATGACCACCACGGAAGCTTTCTACCACTAGAATATCCCACCATCATAAGATCATCCCACCACCATGGAACCATTCTATCACCAGTTTACCACCACCACCGAAACATTCCACCACCACAGGAGCATCCCACCACTAGACCTCCCCACTACTAGGGTGTCCCACCACCACCACAGCTTCGTAGGGTGCTCTTGTTCTTCCAAACTGAGCTCCGGCCATAGAAATTGGGTACTGCCAACCCAAGCAGGTGTTCTTCAGGCTCCCTAAAGGCCCATTTAAATGTACTTTCTGCCTGTTTGAGCTCTTAGCCCAAAACAGGGTTTGTGATGCATTTGTTGCTGCCCTGAGACAGGCAGGCTTGGAGGGGAGGCGAAGGAGTCTGTACATGCCGAAACACAGGGAAATGTTTCAATTTAAAGCCATTTAACAGATGAAACTTTTCTTAAAAGAAGTCACTTTCAAAAAGAAAAAACCCCAAACCCACAAAGTTTCTCTAAAAAAAAAAAACAACTGCAGAAAGAAGAAGTTGGACAAAAGCTGCATGATCAAGACTTCATGGGTGCCTGGCAAGTTCTCTAAATTGGAGAGAGAGAATTATTCAAAAACGAAAAATAAAGAATGGAGAAAAAAATGAGTGAGAAAGGGAATTGCATGGAGCTGAAGCACAGAAGAAGGAAAACTCAGACAGGGCCATGCTGTGCCATTAGTCTGGAAATCAGGTAAGGAAGATGAAATCCAGCTCATAGTGATGTGGGGAGTGGGTGCTGCTCCACTGCCCTCTCCACTCAGCCCTCCCCAGGAAACCGTGAGTCCTGGGGAGCCTGTGGGAACTCCAGGCCCATGGGACTGTTGCTGACAAGGGGTCAGAAGGTTCTCCTACCTTTAGCAGTATGAGTAAATAATTGATGTCTGAGGTAACCTGAGCGGGAAGGTGAGTAGAGCCGTGCACATGATCCTGCATCCAACTTCACACCCTGGTGGGTTTTCTTCCTGCAAAAGCCCCCCCAGACCTGATCCTTGGTGTTTATTTCCATCCCTAAGTCATCTCCTGTGTGTTGTTCCCGCTCTGAGCTCATCCAAGTCTGCTCCCACTGGTCCCATTTTTACCCTTGCTTCAGCCACAGTTTCCCTTCCTCTCCTGCAGTAGGTCTGGACAGCTCTGCTTTACTGGTACTTTCCATCCCTGGACATGGAGCAGGGCCAAGCTGTCCCCAGCTCCCTCTGCTGCCATCCCGCCCTCTTCACCCTCCCCATGCCTTGTCCAGGCATATTCCCAGCTGCTCCAAGCACATCCTTTCCCCAAATCAACAGCTTTTTTTCCACCAAAGTACCCCTGCTGCCCCTCCAGCTTGGCTGCCACCTTTCCTCTGTGCTGGACATTAATCCATCACCTAAAACCTGAGTGAAGGGCCCCATCCAGATACTCTGGATGCTGTTGAGATGCAAATTCTGTCTGCTTTTCAACATATCGGTGCTTCTTCCCGGGAGCCACCCGCAGGGACAGACCCTGTCCCGTGCCCTTTCCACACCTGATGCCTCTGAGTGATAGGGGAGCAGAACCCAGTGGGGTGACCGACTCCACTGGCCAAAGAGCCACTCCATGTTCCCTCCAGCCAGTAGAGACACGGGCTATGTGTGCCCAGGGTGGTTCCAAGGACAGGGTGCCACTGTCCTGGGCATGATGCCTGGCTGTGTTTGGGCTTGAAGACCTGGCAGGTTAGAGGCCAGGCTGAGCAGCCACTTCTGGGCAGCGGCATCCCGGGTGCCACTGCACTCTGATGTCCCCGGGAGTTCCTCCAGGGCTGGCTTCAGCTCCAGGCAGGGGCGCCGGGGAGTCCCCATCCCTGTCCCCCATGGTGACCCACTGCCCTCCGGGGTGGGTGGGGCCAGCCCCGTCAGTCTCCCCATACCTGGCGCAGCCCCGCCCACTGCCGCCAACCCAGTTCGCATGGAGCGGCCA